CTGCTGTACTCTCATGCTGGCCCCATTTTAAGTTATTTTTATACTGTATATTAAATTGTATTATTGCATATGCATTTCCAATTAACTTGCACCATTTACTGAAAAGACTATTTTCTCATTTGAATTTCCTTTGCACTGCTTGTGAAAATCAATTAAATTGTGTAACTATAATTACTCCAGCTTTGTTTAGATTTGTATTTTTTCATTCTTGTTTTGCTTTGTTTTGGCTACACCGTCTGTGCACAGGTGCAATTCCTGGCTCTGTGCCTAGGGGTCACTCCTTGTGGTGCTCAGGGGACCATATGCTGCGCTGGGGTTCAGACCAGGGTCAGCTACACGCATGGTCAGTGCACTGCTTCCTGTACTCGCTCCAGTCTCTCTTTTTCTATTGTTTTGATTTATTTTTGCATCCATTTAAAGTAGGTTTCTTGTAAGCAGCATATAATTAGATCATGTTTTTAAATTCAATATGACCATCTCTGCCATTTAATTGAAAGTATTTAGACATTATATTTAGTGTGAATATTGATATATACAGGTTTCTATAAACTGCTATGCTATTGGGTTTTGGGTTTTTCTTGGGCCCAGATGTCTCTCATTTTTTTTCTTCTTTTCTTTTTACTTCATTCTTTTTGTATTTCAAAATTCAATTCAATCTTTTTATTGGATTATTGCTTCGCAAAGCACAGCGGTAGGGCGTTTGCCTTGCACGCAGCCAACATGGCCGACCCGAGTTCGATTCCTCCGCCCCTCTCGGAGAGCCCTGCAAGCTACCGAGAGTATGGGATATGCCAGACACAGTAACAACAAAGTCTCCAATGGAGACGTTACTGGGCCCGCTCGAGCAAAATCGACGAACAATGGGAGGGCCTTTACCTTTACCTTTACATTGGATTATTAGCAATAACTTTATTGATTTTTTTTTTTGCTTTTTGGATCACACCTGGCGATACACAGGGGTTACTCCTGGCTCTGCACTCAGGAACTACCCCTGGCAGTGCTCAGGGGACCATATGGGATGCTGGGAATCGAACCCGGGTTGGCTGCGTGCAAGGCAAACGCCCTACCCGCTGTGCTATTGCTCCAGCCCCTGTTGATATTTTTATGATTACCTTAGGGTGTACACTATTTTAACTTATCATAGGTCATTAAGTGATCTTAGAGTCTTTTACATATACATACACATTGCATGAGAAACACCCAGCAATATGTTTCCATTTCTTCTTTCTTGGTTATTGTGCCATTGTCAGCTACTTTACTTCTACATGCCTTTAAACCCACAACAAGCTGTTGCTATTTTTCATTTGTTATTATTTACATACATGTCATATTTTTTTCTCCTAAACTACATGCTACTTGAATGTGGAACTCACTTCTGGTTTTTGTTGGCATTTACCAAGTGTCCAAAGCCTGTCTTTCCAATGAAAGCTAAAAGAAAATGAGGCTGATGGTGAAACAGCCCTACTGCTTACCAAGGTGAAGTCCAGGACTAGTTTGGCCAATGTAGAAATACAAGATCAAAGCAACACCCATGTTAACCAGGGCATAGACCCACTGGATCACAAACATGATGAGAAGGGACCCAAGAGCCTGTGGAAACAGGGAAGGGACATGTCACCTCATGGTTTTCTACGAGTATATAAACAAGTCAGAAACCCAGGACTTTAGCAAACAACAGTTCCTCTCACCAATCCCTCATTAATTCCAGGTAATTTAAATTTACTTACAATTTAAATTCACTTACAATTCAAAAGGGCTGGAGCAATAGTGCAGTGGGTAGGGCATTTGCCTTGCAAGCGGCCAACATGGCCAACTCGAGTTCGATTCCTCCACCCCTCTCGGAGAGCCTGGCAAGCTACCGAGAGTATCCCGCCCACACAGCAAAGCCTGGCAAACTACCCGTGATGTATTCGATATGCCAAACACAGTAACAATTGTCACAATGGAGACGTTACTGGGCCCGCTCGAGCAAATCGATGAACAACGGGAGGACAGTGACAGTGACGATTCAAAAGATCCTCACATAAGCAGACATTTGAGAAGATACCCTCATGGAAAGATGTCTACTGAGAACATCAAATATATATTCTACCTTTGATCCCTGTCCCACACTTCTTTAAAAGAAACAAATTAAGATGATATTATGCCTATTTGTTATACTTAGTAATTTTATGATCTGAAAGTTATCAAAAATGATTATCTTAAAAGTAAATCAGAAGTTTAAAAATAAATAGTTTATTAAAGATAATCTTGTTATATGCATTCTGATCTATATTCTAATACAACAAACAACAAATCACATTGTTCCTAATTAAGCCTTTCATCTTCCCCCACCTCCATCCCAATATCACATGTCTGAAACAATGCTTTAAGCTAATTGTGATCAAGATGAAGTTACTCACTCCCAACAGGGAGACCCAGGGGTTGCACATGCGGGCGTAGAGAGAAATCGGTCTCCTCTGGGCATCATGCTCCTGGAGCCTGGACTTCAGGAAAAAATCTAAAAAATAAATAAGTCAAATCTTTGGGTATGACTTTATTAATAAACCTCCTTCTCATTTTATCTGTGAGCTCCTCAAATACCTTTGAGCTCTTCTTCAAGGCTGTGACTCAGCCTACGGAATTGAGTTACTGTCAGCACTTGCTCTGGGGTGGAAAGAAAGGATTTATTTCTAGGGGGAAAGGAAGGGGGGAGCAGAGTGGAGAGGGAAATTCCTCCAACACTCACTGAGTATAGTCCAGTACTGTCATAAATGGGGACAGGGGCTCACATTTCCCTTCTTTTCCAGATGTAAGTAGGATAGAGTGGGAAAATTAAAAATCAAATGTTCTTGGTTCCCAGTTGTGGTTGGCACTGCTGCTTCCTTACATCAATTCCACCAATAAATCCTACTGATTCTAAAATCAAAACACACTCTGAATATGACCATTCCTTACCACCTCCATCATTTCTTTCCTGGTCCAAGCCACTTTCATCTGACTTACAGCCATGAGCCCTCATGGTCAAGATGACATCCAGTGTCACGTCCCAGGATCTCTGGAAGTCATATGTGGCTGTGGAGAAGCTCTCATGCATGTAACGTGAACAGGTGTTGAGTGCTAGTCCTACAATATAGTCCTGAAGAAAGTGGGTGTACTTAATTGGCGCAACTCAAAGGTGGGGCGGGTGAGATCCCTTCCTCACCCCAACAGAGCTCCAGCAGCCAAAAATCTCCAGAACTCAATTGCCACCATGTTCACAGCTGCTCTCCACAGGCTCGGATGAGCCTTACCCATGAGGGAATCTGCAAAATAAACCCCCAAGCTTGTGACTGAAATCTCCAAGCTTGCTTAGAGTAGGGATGGGCCTCCGTCTCCAATCTCCCTTGTTTACCAGGAGCTTGGCAATCACAACCACAAACTGTCCCTGACCCCATATAATCTCATCAATGGCCATGATCCAGAAACTCAGAAATAAAGCTCTGGAAGAGAGCAACATAGAACAACACACAACAACAAGAGAGATGCCTCCAGAATCCACAACAGGCTGCCTTAACTGGGACAACTCGGAGAGGGCAGGTGAGTTTCCCTCCCCACCCCAACAGAGCCCCTGGCATCAAAAACCTCCAGAACTCAGTCACCACCATGCCCACAAATGCTCTCCACAGGCTTGGACAAGCCTCACTCATGAGTGAATCTGCTGTAGAATCACATTCTAAATTTTAAAATTCCTGAAACATGGCCACATATGCAGCCACACAACCTCTATTACTCTACACTACTGATGTACCAAGAGTAACACACAACAATTGATGGGGTTTAACAAACATTTTAGTAATCTCTTATAGAAGGGCTCAGTGACTCCAGGAAGAAATACAACAATCTTCACACACTTTCCTCTAAGGAAACTTTATTGAACCATTTTTAGCAGATTATTTATAACAAGCAATACAAAATGAATTGTTTCGATTCTGCTTCAGAGGGCAGTTTGGGATTTGGGGTGGAAACGTTTGGAATATGATGATGGGAAGGTGCGATTGTGGTGGGATTGGTGTTCAAATATTAAAGGTAATGAAGTATTGTGAACAACTTTTAAAAAATAAATTAAAAAAAGAAAGTGGTTGTATTTCGTTCTGCTTAAAAGCTGAGCATGGTAACTCAGCCCTGACTTTACACATGAAAAGCTCCAGGGGTGTGTGTGGAAATTGGAGCAGCCCGGGTCTCTGAGTCAATGCACAGAGGAGCGCCACCACTGATCTGAAATACTCTTCCTGGGTGTTTTACAACTGAGACATAAACTTCTATCATGTTTCAGTGCACGGACTCCGCACCAGGCTGTTTTCACTTGGGGCACCCTGGAGTGGGGTGGGTGAAAGTCCTCCCGACCCCAAGGGACCCAGCCCCACCTGCTGACTTCCACTACCCAAATGCTTTCAGGACCATGCAGCTGCTTTGCATATCATAAGACACTTCCTACCCATTATCCATAATTACCACACCATAGGGCTGGAGCTATAGCACAGTGGTAGGGTGTTTGCCTTGCATGCAGCCAGTCTGGCCGAGCTGGGTTCGGTTCCTCTGCCCCTCTCGAAGAGCCCAGCAAGCTACCGAGAGTATCTCGCCCGCACAGCAAAGCCTGGCAAGCTACCCGTGATGTATTCAATATGCCAAACACAGTAACAACAAGTCTCAAAATGGACATGTTACTGGGCCCGCAATGAGCAAATCAATAAACAATGGGAGGACAGTGCTACAGTGCTACCACACCATATTTGATGGGGTTCAGACATTAGGCAAAAAAATCATAGAGAGAAATATATATATATATATATATTTCAGATATTTCAGAGAGCCCAGCAAACTACCGAGAGTATCCTGCCCACATGGGCAAAGCCTGGCAAGCTCCCCATGGCATGTTCGATATACCAAGTACAGTAGCAATGGTGGGTCTCATTCCCCTGACCCTGAAAGAGCCTATAATCGTTGGGAAAGATGAGTAAGGAGAGGCTACTAAAATCTCAGGGCTGGGAGGAATGGAGATGTTATTGGCCCCACTCCTCGAGTAAATCAACGAACAACAGGATGACAGTGATACAATGATACAGTGACACAGTTTCAGTGCAATATTTCTGGTTATCTGTTACAGCAGTTTTATCCTTAGCCTACCCTAATTTAGAGACGTGATGTCTCTAAACAGACCTTGGCTCCTCTTGCCTCCATACAGCTAGTGACCTTAAAACCTGAATCTGATCATAGCACAGGCCTAGCTAGAACCTTCTGTGGCCTTCTATTACAAGTGTCATGGGCTGCAGGGCTGCTTACACCACTAACCTCTCCTTTCCTCCCTGAATGATATATCTCACCTCTTCTCCCAAGCCCACATCTTTGCAGTCACTGTTCTTCGGTTCTACTTGGAATCAGACCATTATCTTAAAAGGTCTCGTTTTAATTTTTTAAAGAAACTTCCTTCTGTTTTCTAAAACTGTGACATCAGTTGATATTCTCGCCAACAATGTACAAGTGTTCCCTTCTTTCCACACCATTTCTAATCTTTGTTTCTGAGATGACTATCTCTTACGTGTCGACTAATCGTCTGCAAGTCTCCTTTGGAGAAGACTCTTTGGATCTTCTACCTGCTTCCCAATTAAGTTTCTTTTTTTTTATTGTTGGGTTTTATGAGTTCTTCATCCGTCAACAATCAAGAATCAGGGACGCTGTCTCATTTGCCAAGGTGTCAAAAATCAGATGGACTGGACACGTAATGAGATTTGAAGACAACCACTGGACTAGAGCTGTTACCGACTGGATTCCACGGGATATCAAAAGACCGTGTGGCCGCCCACCTACCAGATGGTCAGACTTCTTTGTCAAGACCCTGAACGATCGGTTTGAGGCTCTTCATGTTCCTAGAGCGAACAGACGCCATTGGGCTACACTAGCACGTGACAGGGACAAATGGAGACGTTACTGGAGCCTGCTCGAGCAAATCGATGATTAACAGGAAGTCAAGTAATCAAGTAATGAGTTCTTCATGTTGAATATAAATCCCTGCGTGCAAACATCTTCCCCCATCTAGTACTTGGTGTCTTACTGTTTTGATGCAAGTTTCTTTTGCTGTGAAAAAAGGGTTTGTAGCCCCATTTACTTATTTTTGCTTTTGTTTCTGTGCGTTGGAATCAAGTCCCTAAACGTATCTCTTAGGTCAATATCAAGGCATCTGCCTGTGTTTTCTTCCACGTGCTCTATGATTTTACATCCATGTGTAGTTTACATATTTCACTTTTTTTGTCTTACAGATAATTTTTATTTTATTTTATTATGGTAGTCATGGACATGATTCCATAATTCCAGATAATTTTAATCCATTTTAAATTAATTTTCATATATGTGTTAGGAAGTGGTTTAGTTTCATTCTCTGCCATGTAGTTATTCCAGCACATTCAAGAGATGTGCCCTGTTCTATCAATTGCTGCTAGATTCTGTGCCATAAACTAACTGTTCATATATATGTGATTTTATTTCTGGGCTTGCAGTTATTTTCTATTGGTATGCAATAGTTTTTTTTAAATATAGTACCATGCTGTTTTAATTAGTATTCCTTTGTGTAACGTTTGAGTAATACTTTACATTTTTATTCTTTGCTCTTCTGAAGTGTTTTTACTATTAAGAGTGTTTTGTAGTACTAAATACATCTCAATTTTGACTCTACTTTTATTAGTTATGATGTTGGAATTTTAAAAGGGATTTCACTGAATCTGCATATTTCTTAAGTTTCCCAATTCTCCAAGGTGATGATCCAGATTTTTAAAAAAGAAATAAATCCAGAAAAATTCTAAGTAGCAAAATGGGCAAACACAGTCATACATGTGACAATTCAATAAATATTATATCACTAAAAGAGAACGACCCTCTAAGAATCCAACCTCAAAGATGCAGAAGATTCTATCAGAGAGAGTTCAAAACTTCGGCAATAAAGAAATTAAAAGACGTAGAGTAAAAGCCATAAAAGCAAAATGATACAAGGCAACTCAGCCAAGAGCGATCCCCGAGCAGGTGTGAACTGAGCTCCACTAAGTGTATTTTCTTATTTAAATAAGGAAATACTAGAGACTTAGAATGTGTAGATCTCAATAAAAGAAATCAATGAAAACAGAAATAGACAAGTTGAGGATGAGTTAGAAAGTTTGAAGATAGTAACCTACAATGACTCACAGAAGAGAGAGAAATAAAATGTAAAAAAAAAATGAAGAAACACTATGAGAACTGATGATTCAGAAAAGTAACATGAGACTAATGGGGATCTCAGAAGGAGAAGAGAAAGAAAGACACAGAAAGTCTACTTAAAGAAAGAAGCACCCCTAGCCTGAAAAGGCCATAAATATACGAGCCCACGTATCTAACAGCATGCCTGGCATTTAAAGGCAGAGACTTATACCAAGACACAATAGTGAAACTGCCCAAAGCTCAACAAAAACACTGAAGGCAATTGGGGGTAGGGAAGGGTAGAGGGCAGGTTACTTG